CAGCACCTGCCCCAGCGCGTCCTCCCGCTCCCGGTCAGCACAGCAGAGCCTGCGGAGGGGAAATCCCAGCGCAGCAAGCAAGCTCAGTCCTAGGGTTTCTTCCAGAGCCTTTTGTCCTGTGGGCTGAAGCTGAGCTCTGAAAAAAGGAGGAGGAGGGATGGGTTTCTTTCTCTTTTTGCTGACTAGTTGTTAAAAAAACAGGTGGTTACACAGCTGGGAGTAACAGAAGCAGCTTGGACTGGCTGAGACGGGGAGCCCTGGGAACTTTGGGGAGCAAAGCCAAACATCAGCAACAGGAGCAAATACCCACGTTGGGCAGTAAAAGCCGTTCGACTCTCGGCAGCAGCACTGAACTAGGCAGGCTAAGTGGTTAGCTGAGCAGCAAGGACGTTTCAGCACTAAGGCAGTGAAGATTCAGGCTAATTCTCTACAGGCTGCTGGGAACGCTGCCCAGTGCAGAGCTGAGCTGGCTCTTTCCTTAAACCCCAACACTCCGTCTTTTTCTTCTGCCAACATACACTTGTTCACCTGGGGACAAGAAAGTCAAAAGGAGGGTTATTTGCAAAGTTCACGTAGAGGAAAAAAAAGACAAAAGAACCAAAACAAACAAAAACAAAGCGGGGGGGGCCACGTGGGTTTTCCAGTGGTGACCACAGATGGGCTGGTGCCTGGGGAATCCTCCACTCCCTGACCGGCAAACCCCACTCTCCTGGCGACGGCAGACACCGTCATACCTTTCTCTCCTTTCTCTCCTTTTGGTCCCCTCTGCCCGTGGCGTCCTGGTGGGCCCATCGGTCCGGGGTCACCTGCAGGAACGAGAAGACCAAGTTTGTCCTTGAGTCTGACTGGCCCACAAACAGCGACAGTCCAGCAAGGAAGACCAAGCTAGGACAATGCTTGGGCTGAGATTCTGAAGGTGCCACCTGGGCTGTGGGGAGGCTGTGACCTGGAGCAGCCCCGTGCCGACACTCTGTGGACGCAGTGCTGCTTCCTGCGCTACAGGGATTGCGAGGGAAGGGCCGGCAAGGCTTACCTTTGGGTCCGGGATAACCCCTCTCCCCCTTTTCACCGGGCGGCCCCTGGATGGTTCCATGTGCTGGGGAGGGAAGCGAAGGAGAGGATGAATGAGCGGGACAAACCACTCGCAAAGGGCTCAGTCCTGATGCAGAGAAGCAGCGAGTCGCACCGCAGGACATTTCTCTAGGTTAGATGGGATCACACTGACTGAGAGCAGGATTTTAAAACACACTTTCAGTCCAGGCGGAGTCCCAGGGGCGGGCTGTGAGCTCATTTCACCAGCACTGCTCCGCCACCCTTGCTGGGCATCCTGGCTGCCACCAGGGCTGGAGCTGGCCCACGCTCAGCGAGGGGACCTGAGAGCAGAGCGAGCAGCTGGCTCACGTCGCCCTACGCGTGCCAGCCCAGCCATGTTAAAATCGGCCACAGGGGCTGAAAGCACAGTGAGCTTCGTGGTTTGGGGTGAGTTTCCTACAAGTAGTGGGAAAACCTGATGTCCTTCCTAATGATGAGACTGCACCTCTCAGCAAGGGAGGAAGGAGATGGAAAGACAATCAGCCCCCAGCTTTGTATCTTGACTGTATTTTTGCAGCATGCAAAGGTGAAAAGCTCACTAGATCTACAAGCAGTTGGAGAGGTCTCATATGTATGAGCCAGAAACACCAAAGTAATACATCACTTACTTCTAAAGAAGTCCATGAGGTCCTCAGTGACATTCCCATAGGCTGCAAAGACCCTGCTGATGCCAGGAGGACCGGGAGGGCCTGGGGGACCTGCAGGTCCCTGTGCAGTGTAAGACATCAGGTCCTGGAGAATACCTCGGCCTGAGGAATTAAAGATGTCATTTGAAAGGCGCTCTGGGAAAACTGCGGCTGGATGCTGAGGCAGGAGGGTGTAAGGGAGAGCTGTAGGCAGCCGGAGCGGAGAGGAAGCGGACAGCGTGACACCAGGCACAGGGGGTTAGGAGTTGTGGGCTGGGACAGGACAGTCAGGACAAGCACTCACTCTGTAGGCTCTCTGACACGCGGAGTGCCAGCTCGTTGTAATCCAGGGGACCAGTGAAGGAGCTGCTGTAGGATCTGCCTGAACCTGCTGATCTCCTGTGTGATTCCTCCTCTGTCAGCAGCCCGTCGAAAGCCCCATCACTGCCCATGGCGGCACCATAAGAGCCATCGCTGCCCACAGAGGCACTGTAAGACGACACGCTGCTCATGGCGCTGCCATAGGAGCTGCCTGTGCCCAGTGACCCCCCGTGGGCTCCCTCAGCACCAAGGGATCCTCCATGCTCAGAAGCCCGTAACCCTTGGTATGATGAAGACATAGACCCAGCCACCAAGCCACTATCTCCTTTGGGTCCTGGTGGTCCCCGTGGCCCAGGGGGCCCAGGCGGCCCTGAGATGTAGCTTCGAACTTCATCACCTGCAAAACACAAGAGAGGGGATCTCAGGGACACTGGGGTACCTGGGACCCCCAAGCTTAGGAAGAAGTCCTGTGCTACTACCTGAATGAAGACTGGAGTGTGAAATTCTGTCCCACCAATCATCGCAGTAACCCTCATCCAGTGCCATTTCTCAGGCAGCAGACACATATGTTGACCTTGATCTCTAGAGATGGCACAACACCCTCCTCCTTCTCATCTCTCCCACAATTTTGAGTGCCAAATCTTGGAACCATGCCCAATGATTTTGCAGAAGGGTGCACTCCTCTCAGGCCAACAGCACCTCTGCCAAAGTGGCTGTTCTGAGAGCAGTCTCCCACAAGCGAGGGCATCCCCATGTTTTTGAAAGGCTGCCCTGGATGACTCCCCAGCAGGAGAGCCCAGCCAACGCTGCTTCACAGCTGGCTCAGTGCTGCCCTCCAACCTCTCCATCATCCATTACTCTGTAGGCAGGTGTTTGACAAAGAAAAAGCTTTTCCCACTGCAAAACCCTGCAGGTGACCTTACTAGGGACCTGCTGTGCAGTACAGGCCAGCTGTAACTGCCCAGCACCTGCCCCTTTTAGCTCACAGCATGGACTTTTGCCTTGCTGTCAGACTGAGAGGGGACAAGCCTATGGGGCGCAGTGCAGTCCTGCGTAGGGCTGGTGCAGAGAGAAGGTGTTGCTGCAGCCCCCGTTCAGGGAAGGCTACTACAGGGCTGCCTCAGCTGTGGCAGGGCCAGCAGCCCACAGAAGGCAAAGCACGGCTTGCGGCGTGTGCAGGGAGGAGGGATGGTGTCCCCTTACTTTTCAGGTACTGGATCAGCTCGCTCCTGAACTCGTCACTGTGGGTGATGTCAGCATAGGACAGGAGGCCGGTTCCTGAGAAGCCAGGTGGTCCTGGAGGGCCAGGAGGGCCAGGTGGGCCCTGGATTCCGGAGAGGGAGGAGTATCCCACACCTTGAGAGAGAGGAGGAATTATTTTCTGACAGTGAGAGGGCAAGGAAATCACACATGTCTGGGGAACTTGAAAGTTTAAAGGCTCCAAACCCAACTTCCATCGCTTTCCAGTTGATCAGATTTTTTTTTTTTACAGTGACCTTGTTCTCAATGGGAAGTCACAGCCCTGGTAAGCTAAATCTCAGTCTCAGTCCCCCCAGCACCTACAAACAGCATCTCCCTACCAGCTGTGAGAAACAGAAGTGCTTTACTTTGTAGATAAGCAGAGACGTCCTCCAGAGAGGTGCCAGATGATCCAGGGATCCCTGGAGGTCCTGGGGGCCCTGCAGGACCAGGGGGCCCGACAAGACCACTGAATTCAGAGTCTGTAAGACACAAGGGAAGAAAAGCAGTCACCTACACCACCATCACCCTGATGAACCTTCCCTGACAATACAGGTAATGCCTGCTACAGCCAAATATAAGGCACTTTGTTTTTTCTCTCCCCAGCACCTTCTGGTTCAGCCTTCCTGGTGCACCTCGCTTCCCTGTGCGTAGATGTCAAACTGGGAAGTCAGGAGATTGCAAAGAGGGTAGACTGCCCTATTTTTTAAAAATACTTTTAAAAAGTTGCATAAGAAATTCCTTTATGCTGCAGAGTTCGGAGAAGACAAAGGGCTTCTCCATCCCCAAGACAGCACCTCGCTGCTGCTGCTCCCCATAGGAGCACGGTGACCTGTCCGCAGCCCCTCGCGGTCTGTGCAGATCCTGGCAGAGCCCAGCAGGCCTGCAGTGCTGCTAACTACAGCAGAAGGACCATCAGAGTCTCACAGAGAGTTACTTGTCGTGATGGGCAAAAGGGCAAATTCTGTGAGCCTGTGAAAAAAGATCCTGGGGTGTGCAGGGACCTATGGCAGGGGAGTAAAGACGACTTACTTCGCAGGTATGCTGTCAGGTCACTGTAAGATATACCAGGTGTCCCTGGAGGCCCAGGTGGTCCAGGGAGGCCAATGCTCATCCCAGAATCTGCAAAAACAAAGAGATCCAAGAGCAGCACATTATTAAAACAGGCTGTTAAGGTGTTAGCAGACAGGCTGCAGGGCTTATTCACAAGCAGTGCAGGAGGGACTGCTGCCGGGTGGAGTGTTCCCATCAGCAGATCATGCTGGGAAGCAGGGCTCAACTCTTCTTCAGGACTGGAGTTAAAACGTGCCCCATTAAGCCCAACACAAGGGCACCTGCAGACAGGCAGGCATCAGGCCTCTATTCTTGGCAAAAGCTCTGCACATGTCACGAACCCCTGACATGGGGGCAAGGGGGCACCCCCGGACGTGTTGCTTAGCTGTGCCCCACCGGCTGATGCATGTGCTGCTCTCCCTGTGTCTGCCTGTCTGTTAGCAGCTCTGGCGCAGAACTTTGCACGTTTGTGATTTGCTTTAATGAAATGCCCTTGCTGATAAAACGCAGCTGTACGGCTTGAGCTGCTGGGGTGCTGCTGTCAAATAGCAGTTTCCTGCTTCCAGAGTCAAAGAGGAAATTCCTGCCATCTTTGGAGCAACCCATTAGTGAGATCTGGTCTCCAAGGGCAGCTCAGAGAGCGCAGGCACAGACCAGGCCTCGCTTTTGAGCAGATAGTTGCAGCTGCCAGGCTTAGGCATTTCAGAACTGCTGTTGGAGATGCTCCAGAGTCCTTTCTGTCCAGCAGTTCTTACATGCCATATCACCCCTTTACAGATGGGAAAATGAAGCAGAGAGGTTGTCTCTGCTGTCTCAAAACCAGGACAGAGGTGGAACTCATTTCAGCTAACTCTAAACTTCTAAGAGATGGGCTGCCTTGACAGAACATGGGCATAGACCATCTCCTCCACAGAGAGATATATCCTGGCCCCAGAGCCAGTAAGAAAAGGGTTATAAAGACACTTCAAGGTGTTGATGGGAATTCTAAGATGGGTAAGGTGAAATGATGTTCCTAAGCTAGTTTTTAGCAAAGCAAGAATTAATTACTAGAGTCTGTGGATAGTATCTTAGCTACAGGGTATCTTTGTTGTCTTCTAATCCTGTGAGGTGGTCTCTGTATATAGAGATTCACACAGTGGACACTGGAAGAGTTTTCACTGACAGCATGAGCTTTCTGCTCAGCTCCCAAAGAAACAGAGGGAAACGCACACTAATAAAGACCATTACTTGTCAAGTAGCTGATAAACCGTCTGGTCAGATCATCATAATCCAGTGACAGAGACATGCCATCTCCCCCTGGTCCAGGAGGTCCTGGTGGGCCCTGAGGTCCAATCAGATACTGACGAACTTCTTCTCCTGGAAATGAAAAATGCATCTATTAAGACTGTCCAGCTGCTGCAAAGATGCCAGGTGCGAGGGGTTCCCAGCCTGCGAGCTGAGCCCCCACCACTACAGAGACCATCAAAACCTATGGCTGCAAGGCTACTTTCCTCCCTCGGCTCCTTTTCTGAGTGTATGGTGTCACAAATATTTGTGACAGGGCTGGGAACCTCTATGACCCAGCGTTTGAGGAGGATCAGAATGAAATGCCAAAGGGATGTCCCTGTGGTCTGTTTCTTCAGGACACCCTGGACAGCATCTTGAATAAAGGGAAAAGGCCATGCTGAGCTCTGTGGCATTTCAGCAGCCATTTGTCTGTTAGGAACGTGGAATCTGATGGACTCCCCACTGCATCACATAGGAGGAGCTCAGTGTTGGCCAGCATCATCAATACCTTCAGGCACAGCAAAATGACATCCTAGTGATTCATCTGCCAGCCCACAACAACAGTGTGTGTCAAAAAGAATACAGAGCTGGGTATCCTCCTCATCTCAAGAACAAACACATAGCAAGGCTCTGGAGG